TTCCCCTCCCCCTCCCTTCCTCTCTCTGAAATCAGTAAAAAAATTTTTTAAAAAGAAATGATAACGAGCATCCTTAAAAGCATCTAACTGCAAATAAAATGCCTCTAAATTTTCATCAATAAATGTGACATTTCTAGCTCGTTAAGTATTTTTTTAAATCATGAGATGTTACATTTCATCAACATTTTTTTAATCTATTAAGATGCTCATATAGTTTTTCTCCTTCAATGTGTTTAAGTGGCAAATAAAACTTACAGATTTTGAAAAATAAATTCATTATTGCATTGCTGAGGTAAATTGAGCCTAGTCATGCATTTAAAAAATACATTGTTGGATTTGGTTTACTAATGTTTTATTTAGAACTTTTATTACCTGTTCATTGGTGAGATTCTCTTGCAACTCTTTCAAAAATAATATCTTTCACTGATTTTGACTGTACCATTCAAATTATACAGCCTCATAAAGTGGGTGGGGACAATCTCTGAAACAGTTTATGAAAAATTAGGATTATCTTCTTGAATGTATTATAGAATTCTATTTTAAAACCTTCTTGGCCTGGTTTTATTGTATTATTTATTGCTGCATAGCAAATGCCCCAAATCTCAGTGGCTTAAAACAATAGCATTTATTATCTCAGTTTTTGAGGGTCGGGAATTTGGGAGGAGCTTAATTGGGTGGTTCTGGCTTAAGATATTTCATGGGGTTACCCTCAAAATGTTGGCTGAGACAATAGTAATCTTTACAGGAGTTGGAGGATCTGCTTCCAAAATATCTCCCTCACACCAGCCTTGGCAGTTCTTTGCTGGCCAATGGCAGGAGGCCCAAGATCCTTGCCACGTGGACCTCTTCATATGTGTGCTTGAGTGCCTTCCTGACATGGCAGCTGGAATCCCCCAGCACAAGGATTGAGAGAGAGAGACTGGGACATCAGTCACAATGCCTTTTACAGGTTAGCCTCAGAAGTCACGTTTCATCATTTCCAAAGTATCCTGTGGTTTACATAGGTCAGCCTATTCACTGTGCGAGAGCATGAATACCAGAGGCCAGGGTCACT